TTGACCGTTCTGCAATCTAGAAGAGTTGTCCTATCCAGTAATGGAATGTTACTGAAACATATCTGTATTGCGGATAGAACAAAAAGGGTGGTTAATATTTCCTTGTGTCGTGGGTCCTTCAGAGGGAACTTGATGTGGTATAGTCGAGCTGAGGTCAACACTGCAGTGAGGATGGGCGGCAGATACACACAAGGCCATGTTGTTGAGGAGATGACTTTGTCGAGTGTGGTTGCGTTTCTAGAACACCACAAAATAGTCGAATTACCCCTCTCTTGTGGAGACGAACCATGACAGTCAACAGGTGTCAGAGCGTTGTGAATCACCACCACCGGCACTATCAAACACATGTAGAAGTCCAGGGAGGAGAGGGTTCTGTATACTATTCTCTGTACAGTGTTGGGACGTCTGTAGTTGTAGAGGAATACCAGTGGGTTCAGGCATGTTGATATCAGACAGAAAATGAGGAGCCAGGCTGATATCAGGATATCGCCGATTCCTGTTCCTTCGCCCTCGCTGAAGATTGTCATCCTCTGATATCTTGCTAAACTTTAGATATGTCTGTATTAGGCGTTAAATAGTGACCGAGCTGTTTTAGTTTGTCATTGTAAGTAAAAAGCTTATAAAAATACTAAATGATGCAACCTTATCTCAACTTGAAAACAATTTATACAGGGTGTTCTCGATACATTGAAACGGTTTTAAATGTCTATTAAAAAAATTATGAAGGAGCACCTGGCCACTGGCCAGGTGCGTTATGATACTGAAAGGTGTGAATATTTAGGAGATCGGTCTTCTTTTTTTAACGATATTAATTAATATATTTAATGATTTCTAGTACCCAGCTGGGTCAAATAATGAAACCACGAGCAAAGGAACCAATAATATTGGCAAAATAAATGTACAATATCAGTGAGCAATATATAATATATTTATAAGTTCTGAATTGTAAAACGTAATTTAGCACTTTTAAGACATAATTCTATGAGCATATAATATCTATAATATGTGCATTATGTCTTTATGTACGCAGCAGATAATAATGAGCCCCAAAGCTAGAACATGGTATAACTGTATAGTGTATAATGTCCATTGTGCTTGTGGTCATACATCCGGATCCCGATAGCACCATTGCGGCACTCGGGCATTATGGTGGCCCTATAACGGCCATAATGCCAGGATCTGTATGTATGGCCTGCCTGTAGTATGCTTCTAAGAATGAATTGATAAATAATTAGCACGGTATCCAATACCAAAACCTGAAATAATGTCTGGGTGTTTAACGAGTATGACAAATATTATAGATGAAAGAATCTGATTCATGGCTTAACTCTGTTGTCTAAAATGGCCCTACAAATGTTAGACATTCCCCCCAATTCTTTAAAGCTTACAAATTCTCAGTTGTTGATGGCGAAAATAGCGAAAATAGCAACGGTGATAACGTTTTGATTACGCAAAAAAAGTTAGGAATGTTATAGGAAATATATTAAAACTGTAATAATGCGGGCTCTGAGCCGGACTCATGACACGGGAGTATAGATCTTTTATCATTAAAATTAGGAGCATAATATAGCATGCATTTACAATTATAAACTGTAATGACACCGGTATTATGTCTAAGGATACTGCTTAGTATAGTAGTATAGTAGACGGATCCGTCTGAAAAAATCGATTAATTAGCTAATTACCAAAAATCATACAATTTTTATTGGCTCAAAATGATTGAATTCGCTTGAAACACGGAGAAAAGTATTTTTTAGAAAAACATTTCAGAAAACACTTTGAAAATTGCTCGTGTCGGGAATACTAAAATCGCAAATATTTATAATTGAAGTTCAGTAAATCTCAGCCGATTTTAGTAACCAGGAATTACTAAATGGAACGATTGGAAACTGAAAAACGTAAACCACACAATATTGGAATTTCATAATTAAGTACAGTGCAGCATTATCAATTCTACTGAACCTTGACTGCGGCTTTGTTAACAAGGTTTGGCCGGTAGAGGGTCCGCAGTAGTCCCATCGGCCATTACCTTAGTATTGCTGTACAACCACTAAATAAGCACATACCATCATCAAAATTATCTCCCCGGCAACACGTCATGTGCTCGTTCAGTAGCCTAGTAGCCTAGTTAGGTAACCTAGTGCCTAATGTGATCTTGTTGAGTTAATTAAAATATGCAAGCGTGCTAAATCACCCTACACTCGAACTTCTAGATTTTTCTAGAAGGGTCCCGACCGCGACCGTTGAAACCAATCTCAATCGATGTATTTTTTGGAGGCTGATTCCGAATTACCCCACATGACACAAGGTTAATATGCTCCCCTGGCGAGTTATCGGCGAATAAATGTTTCGATCACGTGACATAACCATATAAGGAAGTTGACCTCCTTGAACTTTTCAAATAACGGAGTAGTTCGCTGTTTATTAGTCTCATGATTGAAATACTGATATCTGGATATTATCCGGTTGGAAGAGACAAGGACAAGTGAAACAAGGAAGTTAGGAGTAAGGGCAAATTTTCGGCGTCAACGCCATCTTCAGGCTCAAATTATTTGTTATATAGTAGTGTTGAAAGTATTTTAATACTTTCAACACTACTATATAACAATATAGGTCTATCCAAATCTGCCAAATTCCTAGGAGTGACCCTCGACAGCAAGCTCAATTTCAATGAACATATCACCAATACCACCAAAAAAGCTACGGCATCCCTTATGCAATGTAGAAGAGCTGTCGGCCCCACTTGGGGTATGAGCCCTAAAACATGCAAATGGATGTACACCGCTGTCATCAGACCTATTCTATCATACTGCTGTAGTATATGGATTAGAGCAACCCAAACAGACACCAACGCGAGGAAGTTCAAACGAGTTCAGGCATTGGCATTGAGAATGATGTCTGGTGCCATGCCTAGTACTCCCTTCATCGCACTGAACCACCTCACTAACACTCCAGATATCATACTTTTCCTGAGAGGTGAAGCAGCAAAGGGCACAGCCAGGCTTCAAGCTTATGGAAGCCTAACCCTCGAAACTATCGCCCCCAGAAAAGGTACCATCACAACTCACCACTATCAACAAACAATTCATGGTAGATCTCAACATACCACCCAAAGCAGAGAGAGACCTATCTATACCAACCATGATGCTTGAACGACGCTTCACGGTCACCACTCCTGGAGCTGACAACATTGGATATAGAGGCTCACTCCAAAACACCATCGACAACATCCCCAGTGAAACCATCACCTGCTACACAGACGGGTCACGCACAGACTCAGGTAGCGGGGCTGGTTATATTATCACCACAGACAACAACAACACTACACTAGATGAAAGATCATTCAAGCTTCCCGATTATTGCACCGTTTATCAAACAGAACTCACTGCCATCATCGAAGCTTGTAAATATCTATCAACTTATACAAACACACACATCATCATATGGTCAGACAGTCTCTCCTCTATTCAAGCCATATCCTCACCTTCAACGAGGAGTAGGACTACTAGAGACTGTTACGACACCCTCAATACACTCGGATCCACTAACACCTTAGAGATCAGATGGATAGCTGCACACATTGGTTTGTGGGGTAATGAAAAAGCAGACGAGCTGGCCAAAAATGGTACAACCAGTGAATCCACTTTGAATTGCCCAATTCCACAATCTTACATCAAACGCCTGATCAACGACAAAGTCACAAAACTTAATCAAGAATCATGGATTACTGATGGTCCCAGACACACTAAACTGACACTTGGACATAAAAACATCAACATCATCAAAAATCTCAACACTACACTCAGTAACAACAGACAAAATTATAGAACTGCAGTGCACCTCATCACGGGACATTGTGGCCTCAACAAACACCTACACACCATTCGCATATCAGACACAAGTGCTTGTCCTAAATGCGGCGACGAAGAGGAGACTGTCTCACACTTTCTCGGACAGTGCCCGGCTATTGCCCAAATAAGAGGTCAATATTTCCGGGACTACTACCTCTCTGTCAATGACATATTCGACAACCAACACATCTCCACCATTGTCAACTTTACAAACCACACTAAACGCTTAGTGGTGCCAGTGCCAGAGGAGTTGGACCAGACAGGTGTAACATAGCGACTACTTTAACGCCGTCTTATTTCGCCTCTCTCTTCCACACTATCTATGACACACCCCACAACACTTACCATCATCCTTGATTACACATCTTGATTCCACTGGCATCCTCCCACAGGACTGCCATACCCCAGAGGTAGGCAAAGCATTCATATGCTATCCTCTCGTGGGCCAACCAGGCCCAGCCTCTCTAAAAAAAAAAAAAAAAAAAAAAATGCTGTATATATTATGAGGGTATATCCGCTACCCGGAATTAGAATTAGATTGAGTTTGTGAGCAAAGGAAAACTGGTTCATTTCAGTCCATCTTGAAGCCAAAAATAGTAAATACCACTCTGAGAAATATAGTAACCCTAAATCTATTATCGGCTCTACGAAATATTCGGAGAATATTAAGTTAATATTTAATTTCATAAATTCTTAAGTCTCTAAATAACTTATAGAATTAAAGTTCGATACTTTAAGGGGTCAACATTTACCATCATTAAAGTGACCCGGGAAGTTCTTAAACCCTGTGTAGGGCGTAAAACATTTCTGGTAAAATATGCGGCGATTTTAGAATTAATTTTGTGATTTTAGAATTAATTGTGCAGATAGAATTGCTACTCTGGCTCCCGAGTTTTTGTGGTGTAAATAAACAAGAGAATAGGAACAATATTATAAAGCTGTAAAAGATAAGTAGTCGATTACTGTCTAAAGGGAAATATTCATCAGATTTGAATTATGAAAGTCAAAAATAAGATATTCAGGAAATTTCAAAATTAAAAATCTTAATTTCAAAGTATTAGGTATTAGGTTGGATTATTTCCAAGAATCATCCAAGCTATTGGAAAACTATACAAAACATAATTTCTCTAAAACTCCTTCTTCTTGCAGGAGAATCACGTGTTCGCTGAGGGTGAACGTGCACTGGTTACCCACATGGTACCTCTGGGTACCGGAGTCTGGATAGCCTGTAGATTCAGTAGTGTACTTACACTCCTCGACTCCAACACTATGCAGCCTCTTCAACAGGTTTCTATTTACATTTTAACATATTTGAAATAATGTATTTGCCTAAGTGTGCTTTTAAATGAAGTTAAAATTCGCCTTAAAAGCTTAGCCTATAAATACATGCATCTATTAGTTTTGATACTTTACAATACAACTGTAGTGTCGTTATTGACCACGTTATATGATGAGTTCTATATTATGATAAAATATAAATATTAAATAATAATTATAAATCCCTCACCCTGCAGGTTAACATGGAAGAAGTTCTGAAGCCAGTGTCAGTATCGTACGGGTTCACTACTCTGATAAGAGTATCTGCAGTGCTGTGTTACAACAACCTCTTGTGGATCGGGACCAGTCAGGTTTGAGTAATCTCAATTATTGGGCTCTTATTTATAAGGTGTTAAGTTTGGCAGATACGTACAGGGAGAAAGAGATGCGAAAAATGGAATCCGGATATTTTTGTAGTACTCAAATCTTAGGAATTTATCAATCTGCACTTTTGAAATAGTTGGTAAGTAATAAAGATAACCTCCCTCAGGGTGCCATGGTAACAATACCTCTGAAGTCCCTCTCTCCAGCTTCCTACGTACTGGAACCCCCAGCTGACCAGACCCCGATGTTTGCAGTACGGGACGAGGCCAGGATCTCCCTCCACGGTCACCAGGGAGCTGTCCGGTACATAATAGTAGCTCGGTACTGCATGGAAGACAACCTCACCTCACTGCCTCGCAAGATGTCCAACAGCAGCACTAACAGCGAGGTGTTGTTAAGACGGAGATCAGCCTGTACTCGTATAGTGTTGAGCGGGGGTGAGGGTTACATCTCCTACAGGGACATGGACGCGGGGACTCTCAGCACCATCAGAAGGGGCAGGATCATCAGAGGGTTCACTGATCACTGTCACATGATAGCTTGGGATGTCAGTGGGCCTAGGACCATCGTGTCGTAGTGTTGGCGTGGAGGGACCCTGCAGTGTGACCAGTAGTGACCCTGCAGTGTGACCAGTAGTGACCCTGCAGTGTGACCAGTAGTGACCCTGCAGTGTGACCAGTAGTGACCCTGCAGTGTGACCAGTAGTGACCCTGCAGTGTGACCAGTAGTGACCCTGCAGTGTGACCACTAGTGACCCTGCAGTGTGACCACTAGTGACCCTGCAGTGTGACCAGTAGTGACCCTGCAGTGTGACCAGTAGTGACCCTGCAGTGTGACCAGTAGTGACCCTGCAGTGTGACCAGTAGTGACCCTGCAGTGTGACCAGTAGTGACCCTGCAGTGTGACCAGTAGTGACCCTGCAGTGTGACCAGTAGTGACCCTGCAGTGTGACCAGTAGTGACCCTGCAGTGTGACTAGTAGTGACCCTGCAGTGTCATGTGACCACTAGTGACCCTGCAGTGTGACTAGTAGTGACCCTGCAGTGTGACCAGTAGTGACCCTGCAGTGTGACCAGTAGTGACCCTGCAGTGTGACCAGTAGTGACCCTGCAGTGTGACCACTAGTGACCCTGCAGTGTGACCACTAGTGACCCTGCAGTGTGACCAGTAGTGACCCTGCAGTGTGACCAGTAGTGACCCTGTAGTGTGACTAGTAGTGACCCTGCAGTGTGACTAGTAGTGGCCCTGCAGTGTGACCAGTAGTGACCCTGCAGTGTGACCAGTAGTGACCCTGCAGTGTGACCAGTAGTGACCCTGCAGTGTGACCAGTAGTGACCCTGCAGTGTGACCAGTAGTGACCCTGCAGTGTGACCAGTAGTGACCCTGCAGTGTGACCACTAGTGACCCTGCAGTGTGACCAGTAGTGACCCTGCAGTGTGACCAGTAGTGACCCTGCAGTGTGACCAGTAGTGACCCTGCAGTGTGACCAGTAGTGACCCTGCAGTGTGACCACTAGTGACCCTGCAGTGTGACCAGTAGTGACCCTGCAGTGTGACCACTAGTGACCCTGCAGTGTGACCACTAGTGACCCTGCAGTGTGACCAGTAGTGACCCTGCAGTGTGACCAGTAGTGACCCTGCAGTGTGACCAGTAGTGACCCTGCAGTGTGACCAGTAGTGACCCTGCAGTGTGACCAGTAGTGACCCTGCAGTGTGACTAGTAGTGACCCTGCAGTGTGACCAGTAGTGACCCTGCAGTGTGACCAGTAGTGACCCTGCAGTGTGACTAGTAGTGACCCTGCAGTGTGACTAGTAGTGACCCTGCAGTGTGACCACTAGTGACCCTGCAGTGTGACTAGTAGTGACCCTGCAGTGTGACCAGTAGTGACCCTGCAGTGTGACCAGTAGTGACCCTGCAGTGTGACCAGTAGTGACCCTGCAGTGTGACCACTAGTGACCCTGCAGTGTGACCAGTAGTGACCCTGCAGTGTGACCAGTAGTGACCCTGTAGTGTGACTAGTAGTGACCCTGCAGTGTGACTAGTAGTGGCCCTGCAGTGTGACCAGTAGTGACCCTGCAGTGTGACCAGTAGTGACCCTGCAGTGTGACCAGTAGTGACCCTGCAGTGTGACCAGTAGTGACCCTGCAGTGTGACCAGTAGTGACCCTGCAGTGTGACCAGTAGTGACCCTGCAGTGTGACCAGTAGTGACCCTGCAGTGTGACCAGTAGTGACCCTGCAGTGTGACCAGTAGTGACCCTGCAGTGTGACCAGTAGTGACCCTGCAGTGTGACCACTAGTGACCCTGCAGTGTGACCAGTAGTGACCCTGCAGTGTGACCACTAGTGACCCTGCAGTGTGACCAGTAGTGACACTGCAGTGTGTCCAGTAGTGACCCTGCAGTGTGACCAGTAGTGACCCTGCAGTGTGACCAGTAGTGACCCTGCAGTGTGACCAGTAGATAATATGAGATAACTGTGTGTGTCTCTGTATGGGCATTTCAGTGTTTCAATTTGAAGGGAAGGGCAGATAGTTCAGGAATGGTTTGTGAATCAAGGGAGGGATTTTGTGATGGAATGATTTTTGTTCGTTTGTGTGTATTCGAACACGACTGTCTCTGAGCAGAAGGCGTTGTTATTGTTACTACTCTGACGTTTAAACTGCATGTACATTAATAAAATACAATTATCACTGCTTGCATTTTCACCGAACAAATCAATATTTAGCACATTATTTATTTTCTATCAGAATTTATCGCAGCAGAATATAATTTGGTGATGTTTTCAATGTCGAGGGATTTTTGTGGAAATTGAAGTCCTTGAACAATCCCAGTTTTAGGATCATGTTTGATTGGACATATTGTAGATTTCTGTGAGTGATATTTTTCGAATACGTTTACTGTTCACCCATCATAACAAATTGATTTTCATTACGTCTACTAGTACTATTAACATACAGTCAAACCTATTTTCGTCATACTTCCATTTAGTTTTACATGGTCTCTCGGTTATAATGTCCATCTTTTCATCCCCATTATCCATGGCTAAAATAGGTTCGGCTGTACACTATATTTTATTCGGAGATGAATTATGAAAATATTGCACCAGTATTATCTGATGAGGTGCACATATGTAACACAATTTCATGATTATAAACAAAGCTGTTGGTAACTTACTGTGTATCATTAAACGTTAATACTTTGTAGGAGTTGTTTCTAACCCGCCCGGGAACATGAAGATTGAGTACCCAACCCCACAACGATGTGATTGCGTCGAGACTCTCCATGGTGACCAGGTAAATGTTTTTTGTTGCTAGGTTACTATCACTATGTATGATGTAACTGTCACCTGGTAACTATGACCTGGTAAATATCTCCATGCAACTGTAACCTGGTATCTATCACCTGGTAACTATCACCATGTAAATATCACCAGGTAGATGACCCATACCGGTGGATGGAGGACCCAGATGCAGCAGAAACTAAAGAATATGTAGACTTACAAAACAAGATAACGATGCCGTATCTGGAGAATTGTTGTGTCAAGAAGAAGTTCCACGAGAAACTGGTGGACCTGTTCGACTTTCCCAAACAAGGCTGCCCTTTTAAGAGAGGGGAAAAGTTCTACTACAACTACAACTCGGGCCTTCAGAACCAATAGTGAGTTTACTTGTCGTTTACTTGTCGTGAGTTTACTAATCATAACCCCTCAGTGATTAAAACGTGATAAATTAGTCATAAAATTGCGTCATTTGTAATATTTCAACGGCTTTTCCAATGATAATAGCCATGGCTCCAGATTACTATTCGGAAACATCAGTTGATTACAAGCCGTTACTAAGTCGTTACTATGGATAGCAGTGTTTCTAGCCAATACCAGTAATCCACACCTCCGGAGGTGTAAATATAAGCATATTATGATAGCTTACTAGTACTGATGACCTTATTTGTGTATGAAAGCTCTAGAATGGCGAGTAATTAGGTACAGTTAGATGGGGGTGGACACATTCTCTATGTTTTTATAAGGTATCGTGTGACGTTTTAACACGATACATGGAGCTAGCTCGCGTTCTCATACCTTATTAATGTTAAACTTCCTTGTGAGAGAAATATATACATATTTAATTTGCATCTGCGTAACTTTTTATATATTATTTTTTACCGTTTACTTGTTAGAGTTAGACAGTTTACACGTCAGAGAGGTCACACATATTGCATGTAATTGTGCGATGTGCATGTAAGGAGTGCCGATACCCTAAAAGTAAAATAGGACTGGATCTCCTCAAACAGAGTCACAAACATTCTTTCCCCGTTAGTGTTGTACATGTTGCGTAGTTGTCAAGTGGTCGAGATTTTACTTGTGTAATGATAGACTTGGAGAGCCTCGATAAAATTGAAGATGATTTAGCCCTGACCGTCAAGGTGACCCAGCTTATAGCAGACGCCATTAAAAAGGATTTCCTTCGCGAGAAAACCGGGAAAAACTCTCTATACAAACTGCTGAAATCATCTAGTCTGCACAAGTCAGTACAGGATATCATCAGCAAGAATATTGGGAAGGTAAGGGATGAACTACAGCACAACCCAGCTAAAAAGTCTCTCACTTGGACGGAAAGGGAAGAGTTTTTAGCACGATCCAAAGCTGTGTTCCACTATTTAGAAGAAAGGAAATCGCTCGATAGGTCTTTGATTGAACAACTTACAAAACCGCAAACCCCCCATTGGTATGAAGCAGTTCATACCAATGGAGTTGTTCAAATCAATGGAGATGTCCAAACCAAGGGAGCTGTTGAAACCAATGGAGCTGTTCCAACCAAGGGAGCTGTTGAAACAACTGAAGCAGTTCATACCAATGGAGTTGTTCAAAGCAATGGAGCACTAGCAGTTCAAACCAAGGGAACAGTCCAGACTAAGGGAGCTGTTCAAGCCATAGAAGTTGTTCAAAGCAATGGAGCTGTTCAGACCACTGAAGGAGTTCGTACCGAAGGAGCTGTTCAGACCACTGAAGGAATTCATACCGATGGAGCTGTTCAGACCATAGAGGTTGTTCGAACCAAGGGAGCTGATCAGACCAAGGGAGCTGATCAGATCAAGGGAGCTGTTCAAACCAAGGGAGCTGATCGAACCAAGGAAGCTGTTCAAACCAAGGGAGCTGATCAGACCAAGGGGGCTGTTCAATCCAAGGGAGCTGTTCAAACCAAGGGAGCTGTTCAAACCAATGGAGTTGTTCAAACCAAGGAAGCTGTTCAAACAAAGGGAGCTGATCAGATCAAGGGAGCTGTTCAATCCAAGAGAGCTGTTCAAACCAATGGAGCTGTTCAAACCAAGGAAGCTGTTCAAACCAAGGGAGCTGTTCAAATTACTGAAGCAGTTCAAACCAAGGGAGCTGTTCAAACCAAGGGAGCCGTTCAAACCAAGGTGCCTGTTCGAAACAAGGCAGTTGTTCAAACCAAGGGAGCTGTTCAAACCAAGGTAGCTGATCAAACCAAGGGAGCTGTTCAAACCAAGGTGCCTGTTCGAATCAAGGGAGCTGTTCAAACCAAGGGAGCTGTTCAAACCACTGATAACGCTTCTCAAACTGTTCAAACCACTGATGGAGCTTCACAAACAATTGATGAAACTTTTCAAACCACTGAAAATGAAGAACAAACAAATAGCTGTGAAACGTGCAGAAGGAACTTTGCCCAAAATTTCACAGGAAAGTGGGCGTGCCAAAATACTCTGGGACCGTGCGAGCTGTTGCGCCGCGGCGTGAAACTACGTGATCTAAGGCGAGAAAGCAGGAATGCAGATTCTTTCCCGAAATTCTTACCCTCTCAGTTCAGAACGGTGGAGTTGAACTGTTAATGATGAACTATCGATGTCAACTTTTCAAATTTCCCAGGACTTAAGTTCACCTTATTTAAGTTCAATGTTTAAATTTGATGAGTTCACTATCAATTCTCCTTACGAATATGAACTGAATAAATGAAGTTAAACGCCGGATCGGTTTTGGCCATATGCCGCCCCAGACTTGAACTTCCACGGTGAAGAACACTGATCCTAAACGAATTTCAGTTTATGTAAAGATTTTTTTTATTAAGTTACTATACTAGGTTTTTTAAGATTTTGTTGGCTATCGATAAACTTTTTTTGATCGTTTGATACAACTCCATTCGTGTTTCCTTTATTGAATCTAAATTATCATATCAATTCGTTTTTAAAATAAATCATTTTTGACGTTCACAAAATCTAAGGAAAAATTAATATGACAATAATTAATTGGTTAATTTCTCTAAGTATATTCTAGGACAAATAAATTCAGATGGATAACTATATCCCTCTTACGTAAACCTTCCTTTGTCCCCAGTGTCCTCTACCAGCAAGATAGCCCAGAAAGTCCAGGAGAGGTATTTCTAGACCCGAATACCTTGTCAGAAGATGGAACAGTTTCAGTTGGATGCAAGAGCTTCTCCGAGGACGGCAAGATCATGGCTTACACCATCAGCGTGTCTGGCAGTGACTGGAAAACTGTTAAGGTGAGTGGGTACTGGGTACTGTAGTAGTTATGACATATAGTTGGGTTGTTATTTTGAAACAAATGAGGGACCGGGGATGAGTGGTGATGTTTTTCTTGTTTTTACCCGCTCAAGTACTGGTCCTCTGATATAATATTTCAGTTTATGAAGACCGATACTAAAGAGCAGTTAAAAGATGTTTTGGAGCATGTTAAATTCTCCTGTCTCTCTTGGACTCACGATAACAAAGGTTTGGATCATATTATCATATTATTACAATTATGATTTCCACTCAAATCTACACAGCATTTAAACAACATAAATTTCGGTTATTGCTAGAATGATTTTGTTAACCCAGCCTTGTTAACAAGTTATTGTAACAGGACTCTTCTACAACAAGTACCCCAAAGCAGCAACTTCAGACTTGGGAACTGAAACTAACTCCAACATTCATCAGAAGGTGTCTAATTTTGAATGTTCATTCATCTCTGAAAAAGTCGAATTAGTCACTGCGGCCTTCGATTGAACGCTCATTATTTTAGTGGTAGTTGTTAAGTAACTCCATCTTTGTAGAAATGTGCTGGGCAAAGACAGTTTTGCATATATCTTCTTAAGTGTTGTTGATCTTTTTAGACCATAGTTACTTTTTTTCCAACATTTAGCCAGCTAGCTTGTAACTTTGGGCCTATGGGACAACGGAGATAAAACATCTGTACATGGTGTCCAAAGGTTGGTAAACGTCTGTAACCAACGTAAGGAGTAATAGTTCCGCGCTCGCTCCTGTCGAGCAATGCATCATTTTTACAATTGTTTAGAAATAAAACTCATTTCTTTTCTATATCCAATCTGACGCCAGATTCTATTTCAGCTGTACTACCACCGTCTAGGCACCTCTCAGTCAGATGATGTGTTAGTTTTGGAGCTACCTGACGAACCCCAGTGGATGCCGTAAGTCTGCAGTTGTTTTTCCTTTTGTCAAATTCCTCCGCGAATCGTGATCCCGTCAATATAAAAACAACAAAATTGGCATTTTATTCGTCCATTTAAGTCCCTTTTTAGAACCTTATATTTTATCAGAGGATGTGAAGTATCAGACTGTGGTAAGGTGCTCCTACTGTCCATCAGCAACGGTTGTGAACCGGTTAACAAGTACTGGGTCCACGACCTCCCCGACCAGGGTTTACCTCACCAGTTCAACTTCACTAAAATAGCCGACAACTTCGAGGCTGAATATGATGTGAGTTTTTTATTGATCATGGTTGTAGGTTATTTTTCTGTGATAATTATAAAGTAAAGCTTTTTGAGATTTCGACAAAAGGAATGGTTCGTTTAGCGATCAGTATTTTGTTGTGATTATCTTATTGATGAAGTCATACTTTTCAGTATATTGCAAATAATGGAAGAGTTTTCTATCTCAAGACAAACCTTAAAGCTGATCGTTACAAGCTCATTTCTATCGATTTGGACAACCCCTCACAGGTATAAAAACGGTGGTCAGAATTTATAAATATTTCATACTAAAATTTGGGTGACGTCATTTTTATTTTTTACAACCTGAAGTCATTGTAGCTACTCAAGTAAAGAATTCAGTAATATTCCGGTTCCAAAGAAGTGATGACCTAATGTTGGGCCCTTAGCTGACCATGGTTGGTTGAAGTTCACAACGTGGAATGAAATTGGTTCAGTCGGGCAATTCATCCACTATTACTCGAAAGTCGTACCGCTCCTTAAAACTTAATTAACCTAATTGTAAAATACAGACAGATAAAAAGTATCTCACTGCCTTTCTTAATTTCCGGCAACCTTCACACAATTCTAAACTACTAAAAATACAATTTCACCGCAGCATTTTAACAGAAAGGAGTCCATATATTTCAGCTATGGCAGCCGTTTAACCATTCATTTACCACTGTCAAAGAGAGATTATTAAAATAGAAGACTTAATGATTAATATCTGGAGTTGTGCATGGCATTTTCTAACCAATAAATCAGAATTCTGATATAGAATTCTCTAGAAAAGATAAGCTTCAACTGTAACAATGTAACAAAATGACAATATTCTCAGGAGAACTGGAAAGACATAATCCCAGAGAAGGAGAGCGTGTTAGACTGGATAGCATGTGTGAGAAGTAACCTGTTAGTGGCCTGTTACACTGAGGACTGTGTCAACAAGCTCTACATCCACCAGCTAGAATCAGGAGCTCTAGTCCAGGCTGTGGACTTACCTCCGGGCTCCATCGTGGGGTACAGTGGCAGAGTCCAGGATTCCTTTGTGAGTTTACTTTATGATCCTGAAGGATTCAGTGGCAGTGTCCATGATTCTTTCGTGAGTCTGCATGGCAGATCTGCTGATATTTGCTGGCAGCTGTCAATCCAGTTCGGCCGGCTGATTCCATTATTTTTCAATTTATAACATTGAGAGATTCGTTCTGCTCTTCCTTGTGCTCTGAGCCGACCCCAATTATTATTTTCTTGGTGAGTATTAAACTGAAACTTCTTAACGGGAGGAAATACACGAATAGTTTTCGTACTTACAATCATTTTATTTCAGATATATTTCAAGTTCATGTCCTTTATCAATCCTGGTGTTATCTACAGTATGGACTTATCGAAGGGAGACGACAACTTAACAGCTCAGGTAGCTCATTCAATTTTACTTTTATAAATTTACAACTTCTTTATTATATAACAAAAAATATGGCTATTTTGATTTAGCAAAAGAAATACGGCTATCAACAAAACCCTAAAACCAAGCATGCTCCCAAAAACAAAAAAGAAACAGAGAGTTGTTTATTGTGCAAAGTGATTAGTGATTCTATCACTACTGGGAGACCTTCATAACCAGCTATAGGTTCCAACTTTGTGGTATTTCCTTTTAGAGCGTCTTGTTAAGAAGGTGACCACCGGTAATTCTGTAAGAGTCTTCATCTTCACCCTGAATTAGAAGCGATTGACATTTTCCATTATTCTCAATCATTTCATCATGATAAATATAAATATAAAATCTTTGATTCAAAGTTCAAACAACTATGTATGTATAACTCTGCGTCAGGTTTTGCATTAATTTTCATACTTACAACTTTTTTAGGCCACAGTAAAACACCCAGTACCAGAGCGATCTGAACAGCTAAAACTCCAAAAATTAACCCAACAGCAATCATGACAGCACTGTCTTTAGATATTAGCTTCAAGATATTAGTTGATCACGATGGTGGGTAACTAAACTTCCAAATCAATACGGTTTTTAAAATAAACCTGAATGAAAGATATTAAGATATTACATCGCTGGAGCTTTTCCGGTTGTTTGGCTAGAAAAATAATAATTTTGTCTAAGTAACGGGTATACTTTTAATAGAATTTTGGAAGTGGCGATACATATTTTATTTGCTAAAATTTAGTCGGCTACAAAGTAATCACTGGCTAAAATTTTTAAAAACTTAATGTATGGGCGACAAATAATTATTTCAGTGATTTTTTACCAATTCTTGATAATATTAATTCAGCCATAAATTTTGACTCAATCTGGAGGTATTGATCCGATTGCAACAAGAGCAAATAAAAACTTATGCGTGTAAATAATGGTGTTAGTAAAAAGCACATCTTTCGCGGCTAAAATAGCCCAGTTTTAGCCTTTAAAGGTATGATTCTCATGTTTTGATTCATTATTTTTGCGTACTGTGGGTTATGCCGATACCAACTTTATCGTCTATCATTTAGTCGGCTGTAAAGTAATGACTGACTCTATCTGATTGCTGTGAAATTGTTGATCGGCTAAAAAACAAGCGACTAAAACAAGTAAGCAGCTAAAAGTATGAGAACGACAGCCGTTTGTGCCCACGATGCACCCGACCACATTTTAGCCTATGAAAAATGTTGAAACATGGAACTGAATAGAAGAAATGGCAAGAAAACATTAATCCGATGAAGACCATGACCAGTAGTCAATAATCCTGGTTAATGGACTAAATAAATCTGTTGGTTGCTGGAATGAAAGTGGGTGCTCCATGCCTGCTTCTATATGTACTATGCTCGATGGTCGACAAATTGCTCAATTGGCTCTATATTTCCGCTCCACAAAATTGCTAATTGTGGAAATTATTGTGATATTAGGTGTCTAACTCTACCGCCTACATAGAGCCACCCAAACCATGTCAAGCTCGACCATGATGGAAATGATTTTGTCGGCATTCCGAAGTTAGAACTGCAGAACAAATCACTAGAAGGCGTGATTGGTAAACGAGGAGAAAAGCCAGGTTCTCCTCATAATCACATACAGTATATGCTTATTAACTCAACTGTGCATCAATCACAAGATCCGGCTCGATTGTTCACTTTACCGGAATTTACGCGGGTCTTGGCGCGTGCTGCGTTCCACGTGCCACCACCCACTAATTCTGCGACATTTTAGTCATAGTGTATCTGCACAGTTCCTGAATCCTGGAGGTATTTTTCGATTCACTCATTCAAACTGGCAGCGTATCCTGAGTCACGTGAAAGAGTATCCTGCACCGTTTAGACGACAGATTGTCTGGTTCCACCCTCGTTTCTTCTCGCAATTAGTCTCATTTAATTAATTGCACCAAGCTAAATACTTAACTTGAGGAAAAGGAAATGTGATGATTCTGCGAATCGTCTGATTGTGAATGACATCTTGTGAACGACTTGAAAATTAACAATCCGGTTCACATTGACCGGCTGCAGGTGATGTTTAAAGTTTAAACTTGAAAACTTGCTGGAATGCCCATCCTAGCTAACCGATTCATGTTTCAGGTATTCAAAGAGACTCCCATAAAAGGGCTGGTCAGTTCAGACTATGTTACAAAGCAGATCTTCTTCACCAGCAAAGACGGGACCAAAGTTCCCATGTTCGTTACACACCAGAAGGTAAAGTGCGGCTGTGGGGTTGAATCTTTTAATTGATTGTACGTTTGGTGGTTTATGTAATATCAATCATAATGGCTGAGGGACAATTTGGGTACCAATTATAGAGGTGCTCTTCCATGTGGTCTAGTGTGGCTAGATTGGATTTGGAATCCGTTGTGTTTCGTATTGTTCATTTTAAACATGAAAATAGAACCAGAAGATATAATAATAATAATAGCTATAGTAAAACCATCCCCACCATCACAGGACCTCGTGCTAGATGGTACTAATCCTACCCTGATGTACGGTTACGGAGGGTTCAACATCTCTCTTAGCCCCTCTTACTCCAGCTCCAGGATGATCTTCATCAAGTTCCTCGGTGGCGTGTTCTGCGAGGTTAACATGCGGGGTGGAGGGTCAGTTTTATAATTTATTATAATTTATTCGATTTTACTATTAGTGCTTAGAATTTTTTTAAATGTTAATGAATGATAATATTCATTGATACCGGAACACGTTTTTCTGGCAACCAACCTATTGATCTTCCAGTTATGATTTTTAAAACATCACTAATCTGTCACGTTACAGAGAGTACGGCAACGACTGGCACCATGCCGGGAGTCTGGCCAACAAACAGAACGTGTTCGATGACTTCATCTCCGCCGGAGAGGAGCTCATTAAACTAAAATACACATCTCCCTCAAAGTAAGTTCGAGAAAATTTGTGACTTCAAAAATTGTATCAAATTTGTAATTTTATTTTTGAATCTTTTGTCTGACGTATATTTTAAATCCTTTTTGTGGGAAGTATCCGTTGTTTTTATGCGTGTTGTACTATTCCTTAGACAGTGAACTACGTTGACTGCGGGTTTAATCAATGATCACTGCACATTTTGAGCGTCAATTTGTCTTTTAACTAAACTAGCAGAGATTTTATTTTGCTGAATAATCAATAGAATCAATAGCTTGTTCAAGTAGTTCGGATGAGTGCGGTGTGGAGGTCAGCGCAGACTGGCGCCACCTGACCGCTCGTCCACACAGTAAAACGTTAGGGAAATGTGGGCTGTGGGCGGCATCATGGTGCTTGTAGTGGCAGATAGAGTGTTGTTGTAGACTGAGTGCATCATACGGCGCACTTGTGCTGTCACTGTTCTGTAGTCCCGATTATCCTGTACGTCATGGTCGTAGCTTTATGACACTTTATATTGTAAGCTCTTTTCTCACACCAGGTTGGCGATTGAGGGCGGCAGTAACGGCGGCCTGCTAGTGGCAGCGTGCGCCAACCAGCGCCCTGACCTGTTCGGAGCCGTGATTTGTCACGTGGGAGTCCTGGATATGTACCGCTTCCAGAAGTTCACCATAGGTAATGATAATTAGTTATTAATATTTGGCATAATCAAATAAAGATATAAATTGTTTTAAAATTTTTTACAGTTTCACCATTTCACTTGAGCATAATCCCAGTAAGATTTACATTAAAAGCTTAGCTCTAATAGTCATATCCTCTCAGGGCACGCCTGGATGACAGAGTTCGGGAATCCCGAGAAGGAAGATGAGTGGAAGTGGGTAAAAAGTTACAGTCCTCTCCACAACATCCCAGACACCGGCACTTACCCCGCTACTCTGCTCCTGACGGGGGACCACGATGACAGGGTCGTACCTCTTCACTCCCTCAAGTTCATAGCTACCCTCCAGCACAAGCTGGGAGCTAGCAATCCTAACCCGCTCCTCATCAGAGTCGATACAAAGTCGGGACACGGCGCTGGCAAACCAACTGCCAAGCGGTTAATTGAGACTGCTGATTGTTATGCTTTCATTGCCGCTCAATTGGGTGCAGAATGGCACCAATAAGTGGGATATTTGATCTTGAAAATTTCTAATTTCAACTTCTAAAGTCGGGTAGATTAAATTTAGTCCTTATTAAACAAGGCGGGTCCTTCACGATTCCTTTTCTAGCTTCTCTTATGCCCTAATAATTTAAATTTACTTTTTAAACTTTTGGGTTCTTAGTGATTGATTGATTGATTGATTGAGGAGCACTACCCGAAGGCATTACTCGGCACTAACGCCTTAAAATCTTTAATTACAATCAAATATAAATATATGCACACAATGTATAAAATATTAATAATGTATAAAATATGATTACGCAATTAGCAAATTTAAATAGTACTATTAAGAATTTGAAATAACTCTTATCTCTTGACATAAATTTAGAACAGCGACACAGGGTCTGAAGAATGCGCGGTGATATTTTTATCTTTTAAAAGTTGTAAATGACAGTGAAATTGCGCTGTAGCGATAGCATTGTAAAAAATGCTCGAAGATAGTCATATTTCGTTATGAGGTTAAAGTTTTGTTGCTCGTTATTATGATCAACGTATGTTGTACCAAATTATTTAAATTTCTAAAAGTACGAAATTTGAGTTGTTCCAGTCCTTGTCATCCGGGTTAAGTGCTTGTGCAGTAAGCACATGCTTGCTGACTGTAGACTTGAATGAATTTAGGAATTTGTCTTGTAGGCAAGTGGTGACGTATTTTATGTCCTTGTTAATGATGTTGACTGTTTTGTTATATAACTTAGGCCCAATGTAAGAAATGCTCTTGTCTGAATTACATAAACGGTTAAATGGTACTGCAAAGAACTCAGGTTCTCTTCTAGGTGCGTTTAAGTTTGAAACAGTGAACATTCTTATAATATTTGGTGGTGCAGTGTTAGAATAAACTTTGTGCATTAAGCATAATATACATTTAGCTATCACGTTCGGTAAAGCTAATACTTCTAGTTTATTGAAAATTTCCTTTGTGTGTGAAGGTGTGCTATTCAGATCTTTGTCATAAAAATAGCGGTGGTATTGGTTATCTGCAGCGCGAATGCCCTTTTTCTGGGCCGAGAAGACTCTTTTAACGGAGTTTAGCGATCTTGTTCCCCAAACTGTGCAGCAATAGTACAAGTGAGACTGAACAAAGCTGTTGTATATCAACTTGAGTGCTTTGTTAGGTACTGAGCCTTTGAGTTTGTAGAGAATGCCCGCATTTCTAGATACTTTAGTGGCTAAATGTCTAATGTGGTGGGCCCAATTTAGCTTGGTATCAATGATCACGCCAAGAAACTTTTCGTGATAACTTTGCTTTAGTCGTTCACCTCCCATGTAGATTTCTATATCCTCAGTTTTCTTATTTGTAAAGATCATATATTTAGTTTTGCTAGCATTTAATTTAAGCCCGTTATTAGTAGCCCAATCAATTATCAAAGTCAGAATCTCATTCACCATTGCATTAAGTTGTTCAAAAGTATCTGTACTTATTATTAGGTTTGCGTCGTCAGCGAAATAAATATGTTTAGCTAAATTACTAATCTGAGGAAGGTCGTTGATGTAAATTATGAACAGAATTGGTCCGAGAATGGAGCCCTGTGGAACTCCGTAGTTAAGTTTGAGGTGAGAGGACTTGCAGTTGTTGACGCTCACGTATTGCTCTCTATCGGTTAGATATGAGTCAAACCAAGATAAAGCCAACCCCCGAACTCCATAGTGCTCAAGTTTTCTCAGAAGAATACTGCTGTCAACCATGTCAAAGGCCTTGCTGTAGTCCAATAGAAGCAGTGCTGTGACCTGCTTTTTTTCTAGTGCCCTGTGAATATGGTTTTGGGCTTCTAGTAAAGCATGTTCGCAGCTATGCCCAGCCCGAAATCCGTATTGAGAGTCAAATAGGATTTTCTCTGTCTTTAAGTGATCTAATAGTCGCGCTTGCATAATTTTTTCAAAGATTTTTGAGAAACATGAGAGTAGTGAGATAGGTCGATAGTTTGAAACTTCAGCACGTGACCCACCTTTGTGAAGTGGAATTACTTTCGCGATTTTCAATTTATGTGGAAACTTCCCCTGATGTAGAGACGCAGAGACTAGGCAGCTAAGCACTGGTGCAAGTATATTGCTCACTTTTTTCAGGGGAAGTATACTCATATCAGAAGTCGACTTAATCTTCAAACCCTTAACTATTTCAATTATTTCTGATGCGGACGAATCTTCTAGATTCATGCTCCGCTGGCATCTGCTATCTTGAGTTTCTGTTACGATAGTCCGGCCCTCGGAGCATACGAGACCATTTTCTCTCTTAAGAGTCTCAGCTATATTGCAGAAATAGTCATTGAAGCTATTCGCAATTTGCTGAGAATCTGTTATCTCGCTCCCATTATAGTTAATTTTGTTTATCTTAATTTTGCCTTTTTTCTTTCTGTTTAACAAGTTATTAACCATTTGCCATTGTTTTCTGCTGTCGCTAGAATATTTTGTAAAGTACGCGTTGTAATATTTGTTTTTGGCCTTATCCACGTGTTTATTCACAAATTTCTTCATTTTCTTGTACCTAATATCATTTTCAGTGGTCGGGTTTGTGACAAAATCTTCATAAAATTTATTTTTGCGATCACATGCGCACCGTAACCATTCTTGGATCCACGGCTTTGTGTTTTTACGGCGGCCTGGTTTACTCTTTTTTGCCTTAATTGGGAAATTTCGGTCGTATAGTTCACTATATTTTTTATCGAAAGCCTCAAATTTTTCATCTACAGAATCATAGTTATTAACCAAGTTCCAGTCTACCGCAGAAATGTCGTTCTCGAACTTTTTGATACTGTCATCGTTTATTACTCGAGAAGATGTTTCTGTTGTATCTTCTTGAAGTTTACAACTGAGCCTATTCTGATCAACCATAATTGTGACAAAAGTTGCCAAGTGGTCAGAGATTGATTCAGAAATTACTCCCGATTTTGTAACAGCGTGGCAATTATTGACGAAAATATGGTCAATGATAGTCGCACTGTGATCTGTGACTCTAGTTGGTCTTGATATCACAGGAGCGAATCCGTGCTCTGCTAAAGTGTCCACATACTTAGTAACAGAGTCTATTTTCCCGTAATCTAGTAGGTCTATGTTAGTATCACCGGCCAGTATGATATTTTTGTTTCGATGTCTTGCTAAGTTACGGAGGAAAATTTTCAATTGTTCAAGGAAACCATTCAAGTCCCCACTTGGAGAGCGATATATATTACAGATTAACGCGTTTTTGTGCCCTTTCAAGGTAAGTTCTGCAACCAAGAATTCTCCTATCTTAGGATTATCGTGGCAACATAGAGCGCTCTTAACGTTTATGTCAGATAATTCACATAGTTTTTTGTTAACATATATGACTAATCCTCCACCACGATTTGACGCTCTAGCGGGAGTCTGAACATACGGTGGATAGAAACCGTCTAGTTCGAGCTCCTCTCCCTGAAAAGGCAAACATTCCGTGTTACAATTTGTTTCATTGAAGCAGAGAACGTCGTATTTTGTGTATTGATCTATATTCTCCCGAAATTCTTCAATTTTCCCATTAAGTGACCTAACGTTTAGCGAGAAAACTTTTAATTCATACTCCTTCGTATTTTTGATTGCGTTCGCGGTATAATATTTGCAGTTATTTAGAAGACTAGACGTTGTTTCCCATGGATTCAAATCAGCATCAGTATCATCATGATCACCTATTTGATTTGATAGGTGGTCGCGATTAAAGGGGTTAAACCTAATAGTGTTACTGAAATTTATCATGTGAAGCTGTCTAATGGAGACATCGTATGCTGGGAACATTTTTCTCAAGCATTCTTTGCAGCCTGTTGAGCCAGCAGAACATCTTGTGTGGGATAGGTTGTCACAGTAGCAACATTTAATCATTTGTCTTATATTCCCAATTTTTGTGCAAGTGTGACATTTTTCTCGTTTATTGGAGACTTGGATTTGTATAGGCCGTGATGGTGATAGAGGCATGACGGCACCCACTGGAAGAATTTCTGAAATGCAGCTGTAGCAAGACCATTCTCCAGTAAGTTCAGTTATGTCGCTAGGTGTTAGGTGAGCACATTTTGGGTGATATGTCGTATAACAAATACTACAAGTGATGCTTACCTTGTGTGAGACTAGGCGCTTTGTACAGGCCTTACAGCTATTTTTACTACTTCGGATAACTACCATTTTTTAGCTGTAAATGATACTCTTGTTTAAATATAGATATAGGTTTGCTACTGTATATAATATAATAAAGTACACGGAAAACAGTCACTGAAAGTATCTACTCCAGATGAGTGAGCCAAGAAAATGGGGCCAGGGAAGAGTGAGAAAACGTGCGAGGTTTTGTGAACACTCTGTCCGGGTCCCTAACTTCAGCTTCTAACTAGAGAAATCAATTCAGTGAAGTGTTGTTCTGTGGGAATAAGTTTAAAAAGTTAATTGAAGTATGTGAAATGTGAATGTGACTTGTATTCTGTATTTGTAACTTGTAAGTGTATGTACTTAGTGGTCTGATTACGTGATTCAACTTAGTAAAGATAAGATTTCGATTAGTCGTAAGCTGGTGCAGATAAGACATGGTTCGTATACTGTACGATTCTTAGTAGATTAATAATTTTGTCCAAATTTTCAATATAGTATGTTTGCCGATTGTATTGCTGTTCTAAGGTCTGCCCAATGAAGAAACATACTCCCGTCTTAGCGGCCAGTGTTTTCGAATTAAGTAGCTGCGCCCCATAAATTCTTTGACACAGGTAGCAAGAGAGCGAGCTATCTCTCTCTTGGACATGACTGTTAGGTGGATTCCGTTTCCATCAGGATCTACAATGACCTCTCTTCTCTGGTATAAAACAGTACAAATATGGTGCGAGTCAAAGAACCATAGCTTGGACACTCTATTGCTTAGTTCAAAAATAAAGCTGTTAAAATGCTTAACCTCCTCATTAAGCCACGAGAAACGTGTGAGAACTAAAGAATTAAATATAAAAGTCGTGCTAGGATATTTCTCAATTAGATAATCAATATTTCTTTTAAAATCACATGAAAGGGAGTGGTGGTGGTGGTCATAGCGAGATAAATCGTTTATACCAGAAGAAATTATGACAATTTTAGAGCCAGAAATATATTGTTCGTGATCTAAAATTTTGGATAACTGGTACATTTCGCGTTTGATGCAGTGTACGTTAGGAAGGTCAAAAGGGACATCCCTGAGAAGCGAGTCCGTCAAGAATAATAGACGCTCCTTAGGTTGAGACTGCTCAGTAACCGTAGGCTTATGAATCGGTTCGTGGATCCTCGGGATTTTTTTGCGAGGGGGGGTATTCTGAGAGAGGCGTCTGAACGTAAGCGATATTCTGCAGTCCTGAGTTTCTGGTTGTGGCAATATACCATGCTCCCAGAAATTCTGTGATTCACGTGTCATCACATACACACATCCATGGTCAAGTTTGTGGATCTGTTGTTTGACCGGACCGACTTTGCTACGAAATACTAGGTCTCTAGAGGCCCCAAGACTGAGTGTAATGATGTCACCAGTGACCTCATTTTCATCATCACTGTGGAAGGGTATATGGCACTTGCCGTTTTCATATTTGGTGATTAGACAAGTTACCTGCTCCTTATTAAACGTAGGGTCATCTAATGCATTCGAAATGTTTGTAAAAATGTGGTCAATAACGGAGTTCTGAGGATAGTTTCTGGAATGATGCACGATCGACCCATAGCGGTAATCTGTTGCTCCAAAGTACTGTACGGATCGGGATGCGATTCTGCGGAAGTTCATGCTCTTGCAGATGTCCATCCAATTAATGTCATTAAAGTTCACACTTAGATTACATACCGGAGTAGGTAGAGCTGCGGAGGGTGGGCTAATCACTAACGGTTGTGGGGCTGGAGCAGAAGGGAGTGCGCTGTTTCCGATGCAGTCTGCGGTTGTTCTCCGAACTTCTGTCTTGTAGTCCTCTAGTGTTGTTTCTGCCTTCTCCAGCAAACCGGAAAAATGGTTCATTAATGAATCTATTTTGGCGACATCTACCGTAAACGAATTGATAAAGTTAGCATTTTTACAATCGTTCTCCAGTTTTTGTTTCAATAGAACTTTACGTTTTGAAATCTTAGTATTGGATTTAATCCCTAAATCAATTCCCAGTGAATTGTTGTAGGAGATTTCGTGCGCCATGTGCTCATCCTTAACGTGCTCGAACAGATCGAGGCATAGTTTAGGTGACAGGGTAGGAAGCCACTGTCCAAATGTTATGTCTGTTTGAGTACTTATAACGCACATACCGGGTGTGGTAGGGGGTGCCAGGCAGTGTTTTGTAGAGGTAGTGGTATGGGCACCACTACCTGGCAGCCCGGAGTCCGAAGAGATGATGTCCATATTAGGAGTTGGTTGGATGTTCATTTGTTGAAAAGTTGAGTGTAGGGCAGTCTTATCAGCACCAGCCTACAATCTATCGGCGGCTTATCAAACTATACTAGCGAGTTAAAAGCATGCGTAATACATAAAACTATTTGATAAATGAATAAAACTATTTGATAAATGTTCAAGTTGTGCCAATAAATTTGGTTTGTAATGTATATCATGATCAGTTTATGAATTACCAAAAGAATTATTTCACTTTTATCCCCTGGAATTGCCTACAAAATCACGTTCCGGTAAAATATTTGCCTACATAATATTTGCTGACGTAAAATACGTAATTTTAAAACTATGGTCTACCCACGCATTAATCTAATATGGAGACCAATTTCAGAGTTCATGAATCCCACATGAGCGAGTTTTGCGGTCATGGTTGTGGGATGATGGTATCTGTAGAGAGAAAGAGAAGGATAGAGGGGGGTTTAGGGAGAGATAAAGATAGAGCCAATGTTGGATTTACTTTAGTTCAAGAATTTGTTTTGCGGCACTTTATTTTGCAGTTTTCGCCCGAATTGCAAAATTTAAGTGCCACAAAAGTTAAGTGGTGTGAAAAGTAGGAAATAGCTTCTGGAGAAAATCCATCAAAATCTAAAAGTAAAACTTCTAGTTCTCCCTTCACAGTCACTTCTGACGAATTATCTACTAATGGCGAAAAGGTCCAGAAGTAAGCACTATAACTTTCACGTTTTCCTGATTTGGAGCTTGCACAGATGCAGTAACTGCTAAAGTGAAGTTTCTGTAACACTTAAAGAAGTGCTAAGGCATAAGTGCATTAAAGTGCTGTTCCACTGGAGCCCCGCCCCACCCTCTAATAGACGCGTGTTTTTAGTAGATAATGGGTACCAAAATAGTACTAGCTGTGTCTAGTCAACCTCCGCCCAATAACGATAGTCTACTACCCGTTACCTGAACGATAGTGGACCATTATTAACTACCTGAAATATAGTGGAACTAGCTGAACTATATAGCTGTGCTGTGTGTTAGTTATACCGGGGACCACGTCCCCAGCTACCGATAGGGCCCCACCTTTACCCCACGTGGCACTCAGGAACTTACCTGACAAAGAGGTGTCAACTTGACGTGTCGTGAGAACAATTAAATTATTGTGTTAGTAGATTATCTAGATCTAGACTAGATCGGTTCAGTTTAACTGTATAGTTTAAACCAGCATTGTCATGGTAGAGAGACTCGGATAATGGAGACTCGCGGTTAATACTCGGTCAATACAATGGATAATTGATCATGTTGAGCTGAAACGTAAAAGTATTTCTGTATGCAATAGTCAATTGAATCTATCCGAATAATTGACAGAGATGAGAATTTTTCGATAGAAAATTACATGATTAGTGGCCACCAGGCACTATAAATTGTTCCTATTTCAGGCGACTGGACGGTCGCTATTTAATTACATGGCCACCACTAATATCTGAATCGTAATCAGGGATGTTTACCTTTTCCATATTCCAGGTCCTTCCTTGAATTTTCCATAGTTACGAGAAATTTCTTTTCTTAAACTTGTTTAAGAATATTTTTCTATCAATCAATTGACCTTCTAAGCTTAAAAAAGGCGAATAAATAAACGTTATTTTTGGTTTACAAGTATTAAAAGTATTTACAAAACAAAAGCGAAATAAATAGGTCTTCACACATTGTAATCATCTGTCTCTGATCATGGTACATGTCACGAAGCACACGCCTAATTTTCCCAACCCACCATGGCCCCGGAGCAGCATGACAAAACACCTGTTTTAAACATCTTACTTTTCCTGGCAATATTGAATAATTTCCCTGGTGTGAAGTACAAGAAAGACTAAAAATCGCCCCGCAAGTAGACACTGAAGTTGGATGAGCTCAGCGGATATGGTGCCCTGCTGACTGCAACTATTTGTCTCTTCTCAAGCACTACTTCTCCTTCTCTCCTCCAATGTGATCTACTGATAAAACTCTCTCTCTCTCATTTCACAGTAAGCTCGTACAAAACACGGACAGACTTATTGGAAACTCAGAAACAGCACCTATTGTTTAAACTTGGCGAGTCAAGCTTCTTAAAATCTACTGAGAACTGAGCTAACACATATCATATGAGCTAATAACCGGACATTAGATTTCCAGTGTCACCACTAACTGATCCGCCGTGTGACCACGAGTCGTGTGTAAAAATATTATACCTGTGAGAAAATTTGAAACAAAGTGTCTTTAAAAGCAAGTACTGGCCCCGTAGTTATGTCTGTAAAACTGTGCACTGTTTAAATTGGAAAAATTAAACGTTTCCTTCAATAAACGTAACTGATTGAAATTTATAATCAAAAGTCCACAAAAAACAATTTAATCTGAATCAAAATAATCCGTCAAAACTCAAAAAATCGCTACAGAAAAAGGTGTTGTCACAAAATTTACCGTAATGTTCTACGATTGTTAAACTTAATCTTCCAAACAAAACGCTAAGCTCAATTATTAAGGTCATAAGTCTTTGCCCAAAGTTCTATCTTTATCACAGAAGTAGACCAGGAATTAGATCAAATAAGATCAACTTGACTTGTTCAGGAAGGGGTGCTCCAGTTCCCGAGTTGCACGAGGGTCCTTATGTGGTTCTGGAGGATCAGGGCGTCTGCTGCTGCTCCGAGATATGGTTGCTGAAAGAGTTTCTGTTAGAGTGAATTGCATTTCCCTTTTCTAATATTTGGATATATTCAATTAGTTTGACATTAAGTGCCTGGATTGAAAAATAAATTGAGGTTGGCCAGATTAACTAATAGTAATTGTGCCATATCTGATCGAGTTTGCATTGGGTTATTTAAATTCAGAGAAATATTTAATCAGGCGATAAAATTTATAAGGGCTGTTGTGTAAAATTACCTGGTAAAATAGAAGTGGAGATCGCTGGATCTTTTGCAGATCTTCAGCCCGGTGTCTCTCTTTACATCTTCGGTTTTGGAACCAACGTTTAACCTGAAGAGAAAGAGGTTTTTAGCTTGTTGATCAGGTCTTTTTTGATCAAATATTCTATTTTGGTCTGTGTGAGGGAAAATTGTTTGACATTCTATGATTTCGTGATAGTAGTGACAGAGGTTACTATCTTGACGCACTGAGTGAAAGTTTAGTACTTTATCATTTGTCTGATAGAATCTCAGTCCCCGTGATATTACGTATCACACTATTACAGACAACATTGTGAAATAATGAGTGTGGTCACTAGTCCGGGAATGTTCACTCAGAGCTCGCCGCTTCCTCCTTCCCTACTCGTCCCCGGAAAGCTCATGACATGGTTGGGAACAGTAATGGGTTTTGAGGAGAAGTGAGGGTTACCTGGGCAATGTGACACCCCCTGTCAAAGAATCTCCTGGTGTTGACCCAGTGCTGGAGCGGTCTAAAGTACCTTGCACACGACCGAACAGTTCGGTTTACCTCAAGTACTCTGTGATATGTACTGTCCCCCTTACTCTTCATTATAACAGATACTAGGGTGACACGACGCCATTACACCCTAGGCTGCAGACTCATCTCGCAGCAATTCATCCGACACGACTCACTGCTCTCCTCCAATGGGAGAGCCGAGCTGGTTCACGTGGTGTCAGATCATTGTTTACCTAGTTGAGTATGTTATCAGTTTCCTGATGTGAGACGTGAGGAAGAGCAGGTATTGCTATTATAGCTGCGAGGGGGCGGAGTTGACGGCACGGAAGTGAGTCAGCTGATCCAGGTACAGGGTCAGGAGAAGAGTCCCTGTACCAGCCCCCTGACTCTCAGGGGACAAAGTACTGTGAAAATATAACAGTTACCTTACAGTACCGATACAGCTCGTTACATAAACAATCCTCCCGAACAATTAACGGTATTTAATGGAAGAAACAGCTAATTCAAAATACAGCTCTCCCTCACACTTCGCCAATAAGACCGGGTCAGCGTGGGCTATTTGTATAGCAACCAGTGCCAGCGGGTGACGTTGTAGCGTGCATTAACTGCCAACATCCTCCCCCCGCACCGGCTCCCCCTGCCCCCTCCAGTGCTCTCTAACAACCGTCAACTCCACGACACCTCGTCCCATATACCGGCCACAGAAATAGGAATTAGTAGTAGGAACTCTGGCTCCGACCCGAGCTGTAACATCGGGGAATGTCAGGTAGCTCACTCTCTTTTCTAGACAATGTGAGACATAGTGGCTGGGATGCAGCAGAGGCTTGCGCAGTGGCACTCAGGTGATGAGTGTGCTACCCCTTACAGTGATGGGATGTTGGCTTGGAGCGGAAATGCCAACTTGATGAGGGTGTTTTCATGAGTTGCCAAACTTTTTTGTGAGTGTTACAATGGCGTTCATGGGTGTGCCTCTTGATATTTATTATAATTGTTCATCTTTTTATCTTGGTACAACAAATTTAGCGGAAAGGAAATTGTATGGGAATTATTTTACCTGCACATCGCTCATAGAGAGGGCTGCAGCAAGATTCAGTCGATCTACCGCACTCAAATACTGACATCTTTGGAACTTCTTTTCTAGTTCGTAAACCTATGGCGAGAAGTTAGGGTCAGTGGTGGTGGCTTTGATTCATTTTTGAGTGGATCTAGTGGTCTCTCAATTCCAAATGTTTGCTTTAAAAATTATCAACTTTAAAAACCCTATATTGAAACTTCAAAGCATTTAATAAGTACAACTCTAAAGTTTCAGAATAATTTTTCATTTTTTTAACAGAGACGATATTTACCTGAGCAGATGAAAAAGTGGTTCGGGTACGTTTCCTTTTCCTGTTCTTGAAATCTGAAAAATTAAGGATATTAGCACTGGTGGTCCAGGAAACACTAGATTACGACTAGGAATTTAGTCACGCATTGCAGTCTGTCTGTCTGTCTAGCTGTCTGTCCTAATTATATCCACTGGTCCTATGAATTCCACCTGATCACCAATGCGATTACTTCAGCCACCTTGCTGTGATTAAGTTGAACACCCACGGTGCCCTGTTTTCTCCGGGACTGAAGTAACTGTCATATGAAATTTAGTGACGGAAATCTCGGGAATGGAGCTAAACAGTTTAACTAGTGATGATGAATTAAAGTTTTAGTAGGTAGGTGATAAAAGGAGATATAACTGGAGCCCCACGTTAGTTTCAGCTACTGTAACAACAAGTGAAAGGAGCTGTATATAATAGTCACCAGGTGCCTTATCATAATGAATAAACAACCTTGTGACTGTAGCGTGGGGTTTTGTCTTACAACAGCTCTTAGTCCCCTCCCTCACAGTTTCCACAATGGGGACTTGCATGTCGGTGAGAGAACCTCGTCGGAACTTAACCTCAAAAAGTTCTTTAATTTACGGACAATGGCGTCTCCTTTAGATAAAGGGATTAAAATAATAGCCCATTTAACGGGTTCTTTGTTTTCTGTTTATCAGAATATTGTTAACAGTAAACATTGTTTTCAGCTCCGGAAGGATCGGTCCATTAGCAGCAGCATTGCAACACGTAGTACAACTTTCAGATAATGCAAAGGATCACGTGATGTCGGCTATATTCACGTTCTCTGATTGGTTGAATTGTGTCACGTGACATGGATAAAGCAATTCTATTGGTTGCTTTGTAGAGCGTCGTTAAGTGCTGATACAACAACTTAAGACAAGTATGTCGCGATAACGCGATAACTTGCACGTGTTAATTTGATAATCTGGCATAACCATACTGCACGTGTAACAAAACCGTGACGTTTCCATAAAAACGGGCGTCACGATGGCCTAAAAATGAAATTGTTTCCGTAAAAATTAAGGGTGAGGCTACATATAATCCGAGAATTAACTTCTAATACTAGCAGGACACTCGGTTTAGAACTGAAGATATATAATATCTCGTGTGTCAAATATCAGGTACACCAGATAATTAAATTTCAAAATTACCACTAACTCTATCACGACAGCTTTAATTTCAATGATCCAGGGCTAAAGTATCGGTAGGTGAATTGTATCCAATTACTAGCCGGAGTATTTGACGCCTAAGAACCAGTAAGGGCCCCACCAGGCCATGTTAAAGCTGGCCAGGCTCCCTCGCAGGCTGGAGAACCCTGTCACTGGCGAGCAAAGTGGCGACACTCTAACTGTTATATCTACTACCCAACCTATATATATATATTATATCTACTACCAGTACTCAAGATCACTCGCAGCAAATTCCCCTAATAGAATTTTTCCAATTTCATGATTTTGAGAACTGGTGTTTACCATAGATTAACGTGATTACAGTGGGGAGGTAGGACTACATCTTTATCTACGTGGAGGGGGACTAACTCCTCCAGTTCAGGACCTAGTGTGGTTAGTCCTCGGCTCTCAGTCACCATTCAAGAAAACCAATCGTAACATGTGGCACCAAAGAGCAGTACTCATTTTCGCCTTATTTTCATGGATATTGAATAACTATTTTCATGGAATCTGCGGCCGTCATAGAACTATTCGAAATGAAACGATATCCAGATATTTGGGCCCTGGGTTCAAGGAAGGTATATGGTGCAAGATTTGAAAGATAAGTTACAGATCTGTTAGGACTGATTTCCAGTAACTTCCCTAAGCTATTGTCTTAATGTCAGGTTAACAGCTTGAGAGACAGCTCTTATATCCACTCACTATAATTGACTAATTGAGGGGAGGACAAGCTCCCAATAGCACACGAACAATTATCTGGCACCTTGAGTATAGTCCTGTCTTCCTGATCACCTTGTTGTGGGCCCAATCAGCCACCCAATTACCTCTCCATCACCTTGTCACCTTCACTTAAACCAAATATCCCCTCTCACCTTGTGTTTATCTACTTATCCAACATCCGGACTATCTTCGAGACTCACAAGCAGCTTCAAATCTCATATTTCTATAACCTGCTTCTAACGTCCTCTATAACGGGCACTTTACACGTGATCCAATGCAGTACGAGAATATTCCTAATGTCTCAAACTACTCCGTCACCAAATCAGCCAGGATTGGCCCAGTGTTCTAGCGGAGAACTTTCCACTCTGGCCGCTCAGAGAGTCTATCTTACTTAAAGTTAAATTACAAGTGATCCACGTGCATCTCTTTACCACCATTACAAAAGGACCTCGGTACCTGTTTTCACACTGCTCGCACAGTCCTCCTTCTCAGCTCTAATGGCGCTGAGAGTCCGTGCTGAGATGGGACTCACGTGGCCTCGGGATTTTTTGCACCCTGTATTACATGATCGACAAGATCTAACCGCCTTAAAAGCACTTTACAACGACCCCTCCAATTTGTCACGCTATTTTAATGGATTAAAATGTTGGCTATTAAAATCGTTAAATTTGAAGAAGTATGTTGTCGTATTTCAGCGGGGTTGAAAAAGTGCTCACATCCAAACTTAAGGTCATCAAGTGCTCGATATTTGGTGGACAACTTTTTTGAGAAATATGACAGGGGAGCATTGGTTGTTTTCTGACGTTCCCAAAATAATGAGCTGAGGCCGATAAATACAAAAAAGTAATGATTAATTCATAGAACCAATGATTTTGGACAGTTCGCTGGGGTTCAAAATGTCAAGAACCCGCAAAGAACAGAAGAGAGCACAACACCTGGTCCTTATTTTAAGAAGTTTTTAATCGTCAGCCCTCAAATAGACAATGATTCCAACCGATTTATTAAATTTAATGAGCCAATAGAGAGCGGAGAGATGTTGTTCTCCCGATATAGATAGTTACCTTCTAGAAAATATGCTATTTGAGTGCGTGAAGAAGTGGACTAAGATTCTGATTTTTATTTCTGAGAAGTAAGATCCACATCATTCGATGTGAGCCCTAAGAAAATCAGGTATGTTTGGGAGTGGTGTCATTACTCTAATCCAATCCTAGAGCACCCTATTTCATGAGATTGAGAACTTGTACTGAACAGGAATTTGATTGAAACTGTAATGGGTATTGAAGTAGGACCAGCCCTGAATTATAATGAGTACCCCAAATTTTAATGAGTATTTGAGGTTCGGAAATAAGTTCATGAGTATCGTATAGACGCAGTTTTGCGCCTCTGTAACTACTAGCTCAGATCTTCAGACCCAAATTTTTACAGGGTGGTCTGTAAAACTACAAAAAATACGACTTTTTAAGATAGCCGGGTTAAACCAAATTTTCTGCTTTGAACAATCCAAAATAATCTGTGGGACTAGGTTCCAGAAATTTCGGCAGTCTACTTTTAGTATTTGTCTTACAGCCAGGATTAGTCGGCCTGCAAGTGTCACGGTCCCGTTATTTCAACTTTAAATCATGAAGGCGGAGACGTCTCCTTAGTCATTTACCTTAGATTTAGCAATACTGATCACAGCAATAGGATTAACATTCACAAATAGATTAAATGGGGAAGATTATGTCAGTGCGATCTGAGGGAGTCGGAAAATAGGAGGATGACTCGATACTTTGTTTAATGCACTTGTCGATCGTTACGCACGTACGTCTTGCAGATTCCTAACTTTTAAAAAGTGGATATAGATCTTTGCCAACCGTAAAATTCCGAAATATCTGCATAGTCAATTGTTTTTCTGGTGTCAGGCTTATATTATGTATTCAATTTTCCGAAAAATTGTATGGTTTGTCTCAATGTTAAGGTGCATAAACCGAATAGTTTATTGTCCATCATTCTGTCGACAGTTGTAAAATCATACAGTCGTAGTGCAGAGTAGGTGCAGATTAATTACTGGGAGGAGAATTATAGTCCCAAAATTGAAAAACGCCGTCTTGCGACAAGACCAAAAATGTAAAAAAATTGCCGAATATAATGATTATTGTGAAAATAAAAATGTGTAATATATTGTGCTCCAGTGAATCTATAAAGGCTAGGCAAAGTGAAATGTCTCCTTCAAGTCGTTTAACTACCGATCGATGTACAAAAAACCTTTTCATAAAGATTTTCCTTCGCCCAACCTCTATATCAGGAACAAGAAAGGTTGAAAAAATTAGAAAGATAAATATAAAATTCTTACCGTCATCACTACAGTCGTTAAAGCCATCAGAACCAGGCGAGGGAAGAGAGGGAGATCTGTATTCAGCAGTAAGTCGGTTGTCCATGCCAGGAGAAGCCAAGTCCAATCTTTCTTCCTTCAGGGTGCATCGTTCTTTTTCATCTTCTTCTGCCGCTTCCTGCTTCAATGTCTCATGGAGACCCAGGATCTGATCTATCGAGAAACTCAGCTTCATTCGTTTGGCCATCATTCGGATATCACAATTGACACTAAAAACGGGAGATAAAGTAAGCGAAACAGCCACTAGAGCACTTAGAAATACTTGTTGGCAGAGGAGTAAGGTGAGTTGAACGCGCGTGAGTCGGGAGGTCACGTGGTTGCGTTGTGATCGGTGATTGGCGCGCCGCCTGGCAATGGACTATGGGATAGAGTGTGCACGTGACGTTACTATAGTGATCACGTGACGTTACCAGGTGACCAAGGGAGAGAGTGTGAGGTACAAGAGTGGGGTGACAGAGTGACATTTACTGGAGATTGTATAAACAATTAGACATTAAATTAAGTAATAGCTTGATGGTTCAACTAAAGGTCGTTAGTGCTCTGATAGACAAATGACGGGGTCTCTATTACCAGCGTCAATGAAAGGTAAGTAGTAGGGTTTTCAGAATTCCCGGTCTAACTATTAAACATGACTAAAGATGAGTTATTTTAACGAAGGGATGGCCAACATTGACCTCAACCAAGGTTCCGAGTCTAGGTGAAGTGACAATGACACAATAAAACGGCATTCGATAAAGGGCTCGTATTATGGATTAGGTAAAGGCTCATAAAACTAAATTGCTTGACCATACTTTTTGGTTCAATGATTATGGGGCCAATATTGAATGAATACATAAATATAATGGCCGTAATTATTTGTTAAATTGCTAACAAAAAAGCAGGCGTCGCAAGTCTACCGCCAATAACAAAAATACAATAACGAGTAACGAGTAACAAAGAGTGGTAACATCGAAATTGAGACAGTTCGGCATAAAGAGTAAAGACCATGCCGTCAAGTGTGTTCCACTCGGCTATATCTATATCACATGAGACGTGCCTTAGCCTTATTTTATGGGTAACGGTCGATTATAACAGTATAACTGTAAGCAACAATTGTTGAATATTGTTCGAACTGCGTTAAACTTTTGGATAATTTATCACTATCATGGGTTATATTGATAATTACTTATTACGTATGTAAATTAGTGAGCCCCTGTTTGTATAAAGCCTTTTTCATGAATTTATAATGCGAAGCTGAAACGTTTAAATTGTAAGATCAGGGAACTGAAAGTGCACTGCTACTCTCTCAAATTTTTCAAACTTTTCATTTCCTCATAACTAAAATTTGGGGAACTCGTTTGGCGATTGTGGGAAAATTATTTTTCCGTAACGAAAGAGCAATTACGATATTTAAGAATTTGAAGTTGAGTAGATCACCGTCTACAGGACTCGGTAGGGCACGCCAAAAAATAGCGGTGGAGCTGTTCACAGACCAGTAAACGTGTGTTTCGGAATGCTTCACTGCTCCTACCGCCTTGCAAATTTGAATATTCTGCCCTAAAAATTTTTAAATCTCCTCCCGCATTGCAATGGCCAAGTTTAAAAGTCGAGCCCTAACCTACTCAAGCATTGAAAGGGCGTCACTATTGCTTGGAGCCGACATTTAAAAAGTTTGAAAAGTCCGTGTGAAATATATCCGCTGGCAATCCTTTGGATAATTTTTCAAACAGAAGGCATGACAAAATTAAAACAATGAAAATATTTGCTTAACAGCTGGAACAAAAAGAGGCGACCTGGAGCTCTGGTTCAGCTCCGATCCAACTATTTGTACCCTGACAAACTTGTTACTTAGTAACATGTTATGATCTGTACCCTAAACACAGTGCATCCTAAAGACCCAAATCCAGACCACGTGATCCCAAATGAGATAAAGTTCTAACGAGCAAATCTCAAATCAGCTAAAATATCTAATTAACAAAACCTCATTGATAGTACTCTCTAATGAGCGCTAGTGGCACTACTGCAGTCAGGCTGTCTCCTCACCAAGTCCCTCATGAGACACTTGCAGAACTGTATGTTGTATTTACTCTCAGTAAAAACACTCTGCATGCTAACAGCTCACTTTCAAACAGGCCCTGATTGAGTTGGAGATGTTGTGTCGAGCTAGCAAGGCAGCTACAAGTTTGCACGTGCAAATATCTGGGATATTATCAGCTGCACGTTATAAATATAATCAGGATTTCACTGTTATATAGGGCTGTTTGACAGGGCTCACACATGTAATCACCCGTTACTTACAACAAGCAAATCATAGCTGTTTTGGGGAGGATTTGGTGAGTTCTGTGGAGCAACTAGGGGCTTTGATTGTTATCGCTCATTACTTAGCTCCCCCATATGAATACCTATTATTGGTAATTGTATCTTGTTGAGGGGTTTAACTTTTCTGATTAGATGAGCCACGCGCCAAATGATAACAACTACTTTTTAACACGAAATTGCGGATAAAATCATCTTAAACATTGCCCTATACCAGGAATTATTGTCTACAACATCAATGCTCGTCATCGATCATGACTTGTGCGACACAACATGGCGTATTTTTGATTCAACAGGGGTGCCCAAAAATAAGTCGTACTAGGTCAAAGATAAGTTAATACGATGAAATCCTGGTGGTGAGACTTCAGACTTACGATCAAAATTAAATTCAGAAAGTATATTTGTCAGGGGAGAGGCAAATTTGTCCTGATCAAACGCTTGCAAAGAGGTCAAGCCGGGATTCAAGTTAGACCGTGACGGACAAGCTCTAAAAACAACTGTGAACTTTAAAGCAAGTAAAGCTTTTCTAAGAGCGGGGTATGGATAGACTGACTGACCGGAGCATTAGATGGATTGGCTGGTGACAAATACAAAATAGCTAGGCTATAGTAACTCAGAGACAAAGTACCAAACATGAACAGTGAACGTTAGAACCGAAATAGTAGCTGTTTAATATTGACCAGGCAGAGTCTGATTGAGTACTAAAGAGAGCCTATAAAGTTAAATTTAAACTAATGACCAGCCGCCCCGGAACGAGGGAACCGTAACAATGTTACAACTGACAGAGCACAAACCTAAATCTGTTACTCTCGGTGACGTTATAGCTGGAGAGACTATGTATCAAACGGGAAGCTGTCAGGATCAGTAAAACAATTCCCTCTTAATGAATTGTTGCTTTGTGACGCGCAGACAGAGATCCCAACATTTGTCAAGACCCCTCAAAGCAATTCAAACTGAGAACAAGTGAGAGCGGGACACTTCCGCCATGTACTCAGTCACCTTCCCTGAGCTAAACAAACAAAAGTCTGGTAGCAGTCCGGTACAAGAATAGGAAGATTTAGTACCTTTGAGGGGTGCCGATTTGGCTCATTTGTCAAAATATCTAGCTCGAGACTCGCTGAATTGGTGGGCGTCCTGATAAAGGGTGAGGGGGCTGAAGAACATATCGGCAGACCCTTGAGTTACTGGCATTACCGATAACTGTGACAAATTCTGGAAAATATACCCACTAAACCACTGCCTTGATAGTATAGGTATTATAGTAGTATAGTATAGGAGTATAAGGACGTTAAGTTTAGCCTCATTCGATGAACTGAATTTTATTTTATATGAAGTCTGTAAAAGTTTGCCTTGGCTGGTTTTTGTGCATCAGAATTTCCTTTGAAGCATCCGTGTTATGATGGCTACATTTGGCTGTACAAGTATTGAATCCTTTCCTCCTTATCGAACAAGTGACAGCCAATTCATTTGAAAAATTAAGTCTGGACTCAGAAATAGAATGCATTCCTGCGGTCGGGGGATGCTTATTCGATTTCAAAAATTCACAATTGTTCATGTCTACGTGGTATCTATATCAGAATACCACGTCTAATAAAATAATCATGTGATTGGGCCCCATGATTAGTAGGAATAAACAATGTCTATCAAGCTATGCAAGTAACATTTTGATATAGTTAAATGTACTTTACCTCTGTGATCGAGTCGCTTTAACGAGATTTACAGTTAAAATCTGTATAAATCTCGTTAAGACGACTCGTTAAAAATTTGATGTAAAGATGGATCAATTATCTCAGGGACAACTTAATTTCATAAAAGAATTCATATGTTGGCAGCTCAGAATCGGTTACAAATAACACGTACTCTGTAACTAAAGTAACAGGTTTTTTCAACTGTCCTGGTCACTATGGTATAAAGAGCTGAGTGACCATAACAACAGAACTGTTGCCTTGGTAATAGGCACGTAGTTACCCTGGTTCTGCTAATAGTGGGGCTGCAGAGACTTGGCCAGGTCAGGGGCTGGAGGGTCCATTTACCTGTGACAGATCTAGTTAATGCAGGGATTCTATAATGAAGATTTAGTCTATAATTAAGATATTCTAGTCTAATAATATTAATGCAGTGCTTAGTAAATAGTAGGGGGTATTCTTGTCTGCGATTGGTCGAGCATCTGGGTCGCTAGGTTACTGATAGGGGAGAGTTGCTATGGTAACTATAGGGCGCGACTCTTCACTTGACAACCTAATGAGAGCTATCACCACAGATAATGCACATTTAATTCTACTTTTTGGCTGGACCACGGACGAAGGATGTCATCTTCTCCAGCCACGCAAATTAATTTGAAATTAATTTGGGAGCATAAATTGTCAATAGCCGGCGTTCCGATCGGTAAAATTAACGTTTATATTATTAGAGTTAATGGAGGCGGTAACTGTGGTAACCGGATACCTACAATCACTATTCATCCTGCAAGTATTGCACCTTAACTCAGAATACGGTATCCTAGCCTAGGGTTCAGATAGTACGTACCGTAGCCTAGGCTCCTAGGGTTTAAGAAAGTTTGCATTATACTCTACCCTACAATCGTATCTAGAGTAAACTGTATGACTCGGGTGCGTACCATCACGATGATCTTAACTAAACAGTACGTGTGGATGTGTGCTCGTAATTTGGGTCTAATGTGCCAGTGGTACCTCTAAAACTGAACAGACACCACCAACTGAAGAGGTACCAGCCAACAGTTACTAAACTGTGGTCTAGTCTGGGGCCGTGAGGTTTACAACTATTGCATCCAGTCAGTCAGTTTAAAGACTATATGTATATTCTATCCAGTAGGGTGAGGTTAAAAACTGCAAGTTTTTTTTGTTTGCACCCACCTCCCCAGTGGACTAAAGTCCCACGACGTGGGTGGAGTTGCGCGTGAGAAACCGACCTCCCCAGAATAGCTTTAGCACCCGAAAGA